CGTTCACACAAAAAGATCGGATTTTTTCAAAAAATCGGAACTGAGCATTAAGACCTGCAGTGTGAACGTAGCCTATGTCACAGAAAAACTGACCTCCTCAGATGCACCATGACAAGCAATCCAGATTGGTTTTCTTCTTAAAAAGTTCTCTGGTCCTGGGAAAAGGTCCCACAAGTCTTCAGGAGACAGGTTGTCCATCATTGCCTCACTGATGTTTGCAGCTGAGAATGTGTTTGAAAACAAAGAGGAAACAGTGACACATCCAGATTAGGAAGAAAGGACTAAACACAAACTTGGTTTTTCAGTTGTTAAGCAGTTTGAGAAGATGAGGCAGCAAAGGGCCTTTAGATGGAGGTCTGAGACTAAGTGTTAAAAGTAAGACTGCTAACAAACCAGATAAAATAAAGAAAGCTTAATACCATTAAACTATGTATTGTACATTCAGTACACACTGCATTCAGTACTAGCTTTCTCTTAATTGCACTGGCCACAACACAGCATTATTTTAACATGAATATTTTTAACCAGTAAAATTTAGTTTATAAATTTTGAAAATGTAGAAGTTTCTTTGATACCTGAAATTTGATAGATTAATCAAATTTAGATTAACATCTGCAACAACTGACCACATTTTTGTTGCTGTCTCAAAGTAGCTGAACAATGCTATACGAATGGATGGGAGACATGCATTTAGAGACAAACCAGCAATAACAATTATATGTATTATTGATTTTTAAAATGTATTGTTATTCAGTTTTAATACAAATAGTGTGGTATTGTTGGTATTAACTGAGATATGTATTAATGTTCACAGCAGCAGCAAATCATAAAAGAGCAGGGTTCTCTCCATTGCATTATTAAAATATTTTTAATAATTTATAGCCAAGGACAGCAGAATTCTGTTTTTTATTTTTTTGGCGCCGGTGGAAAATGTGCAGTGAAGGGCAATGTGCAGTTAGCATTAGCAACATAGCACTCCCCTACAGCAGCATTGAAATCTCTACCAATTGCCAGACATAAAAACTTTGATTCAATACTGGTATGATCATTGCAACAACTGTTTTCCATGTCTCAGTCTACATTAAACAACTTTGTATAAATACGTTACCTCTTAACGTCGACACAACCACGTCATCTAGCTCATCCATGCTGTTAGCTAATTAGCTAGTTAGCTCGCCCCGATTCTTCTATTTCGCGTCAGCTGCAATGTTGAGCAATAAAAACACGAGTAAACATCGATAAGAATGTGTAATGCGCATTATAAAGAGAGAAACTCTTTACAAATAGTTTTATAACACTTGAGAAAAGGTAAGAGCTTACCTGGTCAAGGCAACAGTGGTAAAAGGCTTTGCTAAAAGGACGTAAGGTCAATGACTGCGCATGCGTACTGCGCAGCAGAGCTCCCATACCCAAAAGCCACTTTTATATATATATTTTTTTTTCCCTTGTCCCAAACGTAAAAAAATACGTTTGAGCCTAAGGTCCTAACCACATATTTATTTTATTAAAATCAATTACCTTTGTCGCAATGCAAGTGAATGCGCAAGAATAGTACGCCACATTCTCATTTACGGCAATTTTGCTGGCGGGTGTCACCCTAGTAACGCTTTTTACGACACTCAACACAGTCATCTATTTTTAAACAAATCTTCCCCTTCTCCCAACTTTAAAAAATAAGTTTAATCCATCCTAACCACTTATTCATTTGATTAAAATCAATAAACTTCGTCGCAATGCAGATTAACTGCGCAAGAAAACAGAGTACGCCACATTCTCATTTACGGTAATTTTGCTGGCGGGCGGGTGTCACCATAGTAACGTCTTTTTCGCGACAATCAACACAGTAGTACGGCAGCACCTTTTCTGATCCTTTGACCGGAGGAAATCTCAGATCCAACATGATTTGGCGCTGTTTTATTTGCTATGTATTTGTGGCATTGTCTTTGAGACAACTTTTAAGCCACATAAACATCATGCATAGTCGGAGTCCTGACTTTCGTGTGGTGTGTGGGATTGATGGCTGTCCGAGTGAGTACAGAGTGTATAACTCCTTTTACTATMACGTAAAGCGGACGCACACACACCATCTTCTCAACATTGAGGCAGACGAGGACGAATCAACTTGCGATGGAAGTGAAGGAACAGCCACGAACGAACAAACCAACACACCTCCAGTACCCGGGGCTGCAGCGCGTTCTTCAGGAACGTCAGCTGACAAGGGCTCCAGCATCATCACTGGAACAGTAAGTCATTAACTGAGATCAGCTGGCTGGTCATAGCACATCAACTACAGCTTGCTTCTTTCAGTGACAAAAGAATAACCAACGCATTATGTATTGCCTTATTGTAATYACATTACTCATGGCAAATAATGTGAAACAGGTAGTTACTAGTTATCTGCTGGAAACACAGGATGCATTGAGACTTTGTAATAACTTACCTTAGGTGAAATGTGGATGATGAGAGCAGAAAGAAGAGGTAGAATAGGGTGGAAGCTGCATGCAAATTGAAGAAGTTGATGTTTGTGTTGCATGTGATGTGTTCAGGGACGGATCAGGCAGAGGTAAATAAGAAATCACTTCAAGAAAAATGAATAAATTAAAAATAAAATTAAGCATGTTGTGTATTTACACCTTATGAAGACAATATTGCCATATATTTAAAAGTAGTGCAAAGTTTCATTTTTCAAATTAAATGTTACAAGATGCAGCAATTAAAAAGGTTAATTTGTCTTTTTTATATATAAAA